AAATGCATTGTTTTAGTATGTGAAATACTTTTCTTGCATCCGGTTTGCATCCTTTCACATCTGAAATCATGGCAAAACTTTCCACATGTTTTCCCACTTGACGACTGCGCTCTCTTGCTAGTTGACTATTGAATTCAAGCAAATAGATATGGCATTGGATCAACTCGTCTGTTGTAAATTGACTCAACATACTATCCACATTCAATCGACCCGATTTTTCGATATATAATGGTCGATGAGCTTTTGTATAGCCGTGATTAGCAGCCGGAACAGATTTTCGAATAAGATCGATTCGAGCTAATATTGATAAATTATCAAGAATCGAATCAACATGGTTATCTTTTCTCCATTGTATCATGTCTCGAATGGATTTCACCGTATGTGAGATATTCCATTTTCGAGCACGAAGATGTCTCCACAATTCATAGTGCCATTCGTTTTCTTCCTCATCGCTATGTACTTCAGTCTTCAGTTGTAATTTACGTTTATATTCCAGATAGGATGCATGATCCAGTTTTAATTCATTGTAAACGTTATGAAAAGTTTTTTGTTGTTCACCTGTTAACTGATTGAAATCGAACTGTGGACTGTTAGTATTCATCGTTCTTGCGGTTTTCTAAATAATCGGTAAAATACAGTCATATTTTCATAGCATACTTTTGCTTGGAGGGATATATTGATAAACCGTATAACTAAGTAATAAAACCAAAAAAAAACAAAAGAATTTTAGGGTCTCATCTACATTTTCGCTCTTTCTACATGTGTGCACTGTCACCATTTAGACACTTAGAACGATGGAGGAGAAGCAATTTTACATCACGATTGCTTTGAACAAATAAGGCATTCTACGTCATACTGTGATAAATGCAACAGCATTCATTCATATACAGCTTCCAGTCTCCTCGAAAACATGTTATCTGAACTAAATTTGTCTAAATGTCATTTGTAGTGGCATACATGTTGACTCTATTAATGCTCAGTCGAAAATGTATCATTTGTATAAATGTGAGCAGTATAAAACTGCTTCTTCTCCAAGTTTCTAAATGTCCAGATGGATAATGCGCACGTGTAGAAAGAACGAAAATGTAGATGATACACAAAAAGATGATGCACTGAAGTCCTTTTATTTTTATTTTGCTTTTTTTCGGTTTTATTTACTTGGTTATATACACTTTATGTGATAAAATTGACTAGGTTTATCAGTACATCCCTCAAGGCAAAAGTATGCTATGAAAACATGACCGTGTTTCATGGTCACATAATAAAAATATGTCATAATGATAAAAACACAATCGTAACGTGAACGCCATTTTTTCACACAAACAAACACAGTGTGCCTTTTTTTATATCAATATTGTAAGTTAATTGATCTTAAATAAAAATGATGTCTTTTTGTTCGATCGCATGATCATGTTTAAGTCTTACTTTGATAAATTTAATTAATTTAAATATTTTATACAATAAATTTCAGTTTCTTTAAATTTATCCATTCTCCTTCGTCGACTACATAATCTGATATCGAATTAAAAATTTAACTTTGGCTTTAAATAGCACATGATTTCTAACCATGTTCCATTCATTTTAATAACGTGTGCGTGCTTTGAGATTGAGTTTAGTTTGTTTAGCATTTTATAATTTATATAGGTAGTCTTAAGAAGGGCTAGACCTGGAACGGCTTCTGCCATTTTGTTGTTAATTACGTAACGATGAAAAAAAAAGCGGTATTGTTTGGTGAAACAACATCTGTTTTACTTATCATATGTCATAAGAAAAAAGAAAGTAAAAAGAATTTTCATTATCATAAAGATTATGTATGCAAAGAAAGAGATCCACAAGAAAAACATAAAATCGTGGTTCTTTGAAATTCCAAAACCGAATAAAAGCAAAATGACGGCAACACAACATAAAATTAACATGTGCAGCATTTAACAACACATTTCACATAGATCTTGAGCGCGATAGAAAAAAAACTAAATCAGAACTAAGACTTGCCTCATTAGAGATTATATTTACTTAATTTAAACTTTGGAATTCCACTTCTGCTTGGTTAAATTCTAGATCTGCCTGGACACAACTGGGATTCTAATTTTGCTTGCGCAGATTCTAGATTTTCCTAGGGAGAGTTGGAATTCAACATATGCGTGTGTATGTGTCTCAGTTTTGGCTGAGTAAACCTGGGATTAGCCTAAATTCCAGTTTGGCCCACAAAAACATATACATGTACGTATATACATATCGGAATCTAAATGCAACCCAGCTGTTCTCATTTTTGGACCTCATGGCTGCTCAGGGATCTGGTTGGACCCACACGAGAACGTATGGGAGAGGTTCAAGCCTTTTACCATTTGGCTGAAGCTTTGCATGCATGAATCAATGGTCTACATCATGTTCCTTCTAGGCGTGAATATGTTGATACTGATACAGGGTATGTATACGTATATTATTTAGAAGACATTTTTGGGAAAGGTTTTATAATTAGGTATGCACCAGTTAAGTTTTAACTGGTGTTGTAGCATCCGGGAAAATTCTATACATCGGTTACCAAGATTTGCTCGTAGCTGCGGAACATCTCATTTTGTAGAAAAATGTTTGTTCTACCAAAACAATGACAGAGGGTGACCCTAACAAGGGTGGAAACCGTAAACATAACACCATGGTTGTTATCGGGTCCGTGCGGACACACACTTCAGTTTTTTGTCTGTAAGACTAATTCACGACACTTGATATAGGTAGTGTGCGTGGACAGAAGATTGACGATTACGAAAGAGAGCAGCTTGAAAGAGATGAATACTGTCGCGTAAGAAACAAAAAACTGCACGGTGGGTCCAAGTGGACTCCCAAACAGCTGTCAAGGGTTGGGTAAGGCACCGACAATTCACAATTTAAGCACCATTGTATTTCTAACTTATTTATACATGGTTGGATAGAGTAAGTCGAGCTGATCAAGAATATGTAAGTTTTAACTTTCCCAGTCCAAATTTTAAGTGGAAAAAATTTTAAATACTGATAGGGCCTAAAAATTTCGAAAACCATTTAGCCACGAAAAATTCGAGTACTTCTTGTTCAATTTCGTTTCGGAGCTCCACAATACTTTTTTCTGATTCAGTACATGATACTGAGTCTAGATGTGTCATTTGCAGCTTGACCACAGATAACATGACCAATAAAACATTCCATTCACCAACATAACTTAATAGACGCCAACTTACTCTGCAAACCTATCTATTTTTTTGTAGTAAGTGATGCTTTATACCACATTCGATTCACCATTTCACAGGCAACAAAAGTATAGAGCCCTTTTTCTGAAATTCCTTTCTGTTCCTGAAAAAATTCATTTTTACTAAATCAGAGCCGAAAAAGTAAGAACTGCACTCGTAATTCTCACTTTTCTCCAACAAAACTCAACTTTTGTGCAATAGAAATATCAAATGCGGAATCTGAAACCAAAACTGAGTTGACTAATGTGTATTTCTATCCTATCCGACTACTTTATAAATATGTTAAAGCGCAAGATGACCGTGAGAATTTCATTTTTCACGATTATAGTCTATCTGATAAACCGAAACGTTGGTATCCTGAAATTTCGCCATCGAAATTTCAACAGTCCCAATTCCGACGGATTTTCACAGTACTGTCTAATATACAGAGCAAAGCCGCCAAAAATTTCTACAATTCTACGATATGATTTCCTTCGCATTGTCGTATTTATAATGAACTTTGACAATTGTCGAAAATTCAAAGGAATTTCAACCGTAATTTTCAGTTGCATTTAAAGTAAAAGTTTTAATATCATACACTGGGCATAATAATAAAATAATACACTGTGTTTTTATAATCTATAATCCGTGTATTCTTGTATTTTTGTAATTTGCGTGATTTTTTATTTGTCACAGTTCAGTTGCTGTGTTCACTATTTTTTTTGGTTGCTGTGTGGAATCTATATATGAAAAAGAGATTTTTCCTAAAAAAGAAAATGCTGCTTGTTCGAATTGTTTCTGTTTCTACTTGTTCTTATTCAAAGACAGCTACGCAAAAATTAGCCTGTAATTAGTGATATTGGTGAAAAATTAAGTTTACTCAAAAATGAAGACTCTGGTAAGCAAATGGGCTGTAAATTATGAATCTTCACAGCATTTAGTGTATAAACAGTTAAAAAAAGTTCGTAGCTTGCGTTGGAGATTGTTGAGTAAAAAATAAAACTTTTTCCTAAGTAGTTTTCTACTACTTTTAGTAAAATGAGAGCCCTCGCCACATCCCAAGTCGAAATTCGTTCAAACTTTCACAGAATATTCTTCTATATGTCCACCATCTATGGTGAATGCACAAAAATGCGCAAATATTTCTAAACCTTACAGCAGGTTTTTCAAGGCCTTTTCCATTTTTCTCCGCCCAGAAATGTTTTTATTCAATCAAAATGACATATTCAAAATCAGCACAGCAAACCGCAATTAGTAGGTTTTAGCGAGCAAAAACGTGTTGAATCTAACGAAACGCTAAAATCGAAGCATAGAGTTACAATTTTGGCTAAGGATTTGATATTTGCTATAGAAGCAGTCCGAAAATCTATAAACAGTTATTTTACAGATTTTTAGATATATACTTTCCGATGGTGCTCTTTATAAAGTTCCAAAATACTTATGCGTGGATTTTCTAGAGGTCCGATCTCTGAAGAACTCAGATGAAATTCTCTTTAAATTTTGTAAAACACACCATTGGAGAGAGCATATCCGAAAATCTATAAAAAATGTTTTTACAGACTTTCAGACTGCTTCTATAGCAAATGTCCGCCTGGTCTATAGAAAAATGCACACTGTGCGGTGCTGAGGAGAACACAGACCTCGTTCAGATGATTATTGAGCACTCTTTGACAAGTGATGCTTGCTTAAATGAGTGACTAGGCCTTTAGCGTTTAACATACATAAATAGTAAGAGTTAAGTAAAGTTAAACAAATTATCAAATATTAGAAGAGAACTATCGATGAATCGGAAGCATACTTCACAACTTTTGAAGATTATTGTTTATTTTTCTCACACACTACAAATTAGTATGTAAATTATGAAACGTACAGTTTTCCCAAACTTGTTAATTGTCCGTTGTTGTTCATCAGAGCGGCATTTTGCCCAACAAAGCTATCCATCATATTTTGGGGCATAGCACCGAACCATGAGTACCGCGCAATATATGACTGAGAGTCGAGCCACGACATTACGTTTTTCAAAAAGTTGCTGGTTTGAGCTGACGAAGCAGGCGAGATGCAGGCAAATTCAGTGACCCAGATTGGTTTAGATGGATAAGTCCTGTGCACTTTTTGAACGTATGATTTGAAATCAGCAATTGAAGTTCCGTACCAGTGAATAGCTGAAATCAAAATAACTTTACAACAAATGATTTAAATAGAAGAACTTGCAGCCGTTATTTCATTTAAAATTTCAGAACTTCTACAGTGTTATATTCGGAGCATAACTGTCATTCGTAATGGATAGATAAACAGTCAAACAAAGTAGGATTGTTAGTCATGATTCATCAGAAGACCATAATGTTATCATCGTCATTAAAATCTCAAATGTGATTAGCATCTTAGAACATACTTCATGAGGAGC